TATATGTATTTTGGGGTGTGTGTGTACGTGTCTGCGTGCGTGGTTGAGTGTGTGTGTGTATGCGTATGTAAACTTTATGCACACGACAACTATACATCGTATGCAGGAGATGATGGCCAACTTCAATGACGAGGGCGGAAAACCAGTGAGTGCTGTCTTTACGGCACCGATACCGCGGGACTCAACCGACCCGCCCGTGGCCAAGATAGACAACGATAGTATTGAAGGTATATATTTATATGCCCTTTATCATACTGTGTGGGTGGGATTCTACTGTATGAGTGAATGGAGTATCTAGAAGGTATTATACTTGGTGGATGGCTCCTATATTCTATACGGTGTTGTGTTGCAAGTTCTGTGTATGTACTTATATTTCACATGCGCAGTGTTTTCTCCAACACACTGACTTCCTTCCATTGTATCTATTGTAACTGCAGATCCGTTCAACATTTATGGCAGCGACACCAAAGACGAGTAAGTACTTTCACACACGAATTACCCAAAACCATAAAGTTGGCCAGTGTAACGGTAAACTAAGAGTAGCGAATGAGACAACAGCAACAACAACAAAAACAAGGCAACCCAAAACAAAAACAGGGCATAAATAGGAATCTCATAACCAGCCTCGTGGACTTGCGTACCGGAGGCCCTGTGGATCTACGATTAGTACATATTTTTATTCTCCTTTTAATCCACAAAGTATGGGAGGGGGTTGTGCCGAATGCCATTGTGTGGTTGAGCCGTAGAGGCGTGGGTGATTGTACTGTTCGCAGAGCATGTGACGTCTGGGATATGAGCTTGATATATATATGCCCATTTGTACTATGGCTGCTCTGGAGAGTTGGTGTATACTCCGAGTACTCCACAGCTTTATTCTATTTTTGTCAAACGAGTCTGCTTCAGGCTTTAGTCTGAAATGATAATAGAGACAGACCCCATCGCTCGGTATAGTAGACCGTTTCTCCGGATACGCCAGTCGTCTGTACTTCATCATGTCATATGGTCATAGTAACACCTCCTGCACCCAAACCCAGCCCCACCCAATCAACCATACACCACACCACGACCCCTCTCCCACTACAGAAGCCGACCCGGCAGTGTCACCTTCGACGAGCAGACACCCTCGGTCAACTCACTGGAGGACAACCCCGCCGGCAGCGCCCAGGCCACTCATACTACGGGCAAGAAGCAGAAGCGGTTATCGCTGAGGACAACTGAGTCTACGGGCGATGGTCTGGCCAACTCAGGCAGCCTGGTGTGTAACCTGGATGCCATTACAGAGGACGCTGATTCACCCACGGAGACGGCCCCCATGCCCACATCTATCTTTAGACAGGGGTCGCAGCCCTATCCCGTGCCCAGTCGCAGCAGCTCGATGGACGGCTCAGGTACGAACCCGTTTACTACGGGCGTGGGCTGTGTATGTCCCAATTGGCTCTGAACGCGCACACACTCCTGTACACCTGTACCAAGCTTTCAGCACTATGTGTGGGTTCAAATGTATATATGGAGGCGCTCCGCACCCATGTCTATTTTTGGACCGGTGTCGCCTCCGTATCCCCTGTTGAGGCGGAGGGGTTCGCTCGATGGCGCAGTTGTGAGTTCCTTATTGCTAGTCTTATCTTTGGTTGATGTACCTGCATATGCTCGAATTTGGGTTGTACGAGCTAACCTTCCTGTAATACTGTTACGTCAGGTGTGTAATATATATATATATATATATATATATATATGTGTGTGTGTGTGTATGTGTATGTATGTCTGTCTGTCTGTCTGTATGTATGTATGTGTATGTATGGATGCGTGTGTGTGTGTGTGTGTGTGTGCATGCAAGTATGTATGT